AAATACCAGAAACTGCTAGGTAGGTGAATGAACTTGTCTCCCCATGGATGTTAAGAGTGTTATAATCTTCTCTCTCTACATTTCCCGGAGGCATCCCAACCAGTGAACCAGAAATTGGGAGGGAAATATGAATGGATCCCCAACAAAATCCATTGGGCCAACATAGATAATGTAGGGAAAATCACTGGTTCAAGTTGGATAATACTCAGACCCTACCAATGTCTTCCGACGGAACTAATTACCAACGCAGGTTCCTAAGGGGAAAAAACCAGGCATCCTGCATAACTGATTGGGTTATGATTACGCACGCTAAGCTCAATATCGGCATGAATCGCAAGGTGAAATCTAAACAGCTGGTTAGCCGACCAAAACTGCTGAAACAAGAGTTGCGTACGTGAGGCGGCAGAAAACAAAAGGCGCGACGAACCCCTTACCTGGGCACCAGTGGCGGCGCCGGGTCGGGAAGGGTGACGGCGAGTGGTCCTGTGGCCGGCCGCGGCGGGGCGCGACGGCGGTGGCGCCTAGGGCCCCGGCGCGGCCGAGGATCGGTAGATTCCGGAGAGGGATTGGGATTTTTTTTTTTTTTTGTCCTGGAGAGAAGCGAGGAGGGGAGGGAGGGAGGGAGGGAGGGACCGGGGGAGTGGAATATAAATCAGGGAGGAAGAGGACGGCGAAGGCGAAGGCGACAACGCCTTCCGCGCGCGGCGACGCAGGGAGAGGGAGGAGGACGAGAGCGACGGGCGGAAGGGCCGAGCCACGCACGTGGACGTGGTGCCTTATCGGCCGCGCCAGTTTCTGGTTTGGTTTCTCCGCATCCTTTTCTTTTCTCTCCGATGAGTCGCTGTTGTTCATTGACTCGTTGGGTTTTTCTTCTTTCTCCTTTTTGTCGCAATTTATTTTACCTTTCGGTGTGTATAAAAGGAAAAGGATTTTTCTGTCACGCGTCCAGGAGAAAGATCGAGCTGTTTGATATTTGATATTTTTGCTCGTGGCCTGCCGCGGCTTACCTAGGCCCAAAAGTACTGACACCTGACCTGGTCTCCGCAAATGGTCCGCAACCGGGTTCAGTTTGGAGTCTGCTACTCGTGTTCAAAACCAGTGACTCAAGTCCATGAGTCGAACATGTAACTGTTACATTGCATCGAGATTTTCCAGCCGGCCATACACCAAGAAAATTATGCCCACGAGTTTGTAAATTTTATTGTTGATGGATGTGAAGACAAGGTAGTTGGCCCTAGAACCGAAAGAGACTCCAAAGAGTTTTCAGGATGGAAGAACACAACATAATGGCACAAAATATTTCATTTGGATGAAAATTAGTTGAGTTATACCCAAAGTCTAGGGAACTCCTCACCTATCCTATGTTCTTTACTATTTATCCCTATATACAAGACACGTGGAGGATATTCAAGAAGTTATCTCCACCTCCTCCATCCCTTAGTAGTATGTTATGATCTTTGATGGCCTTCCTTAAACTATTTTTTCTCTTAATATGGCACTTCTCTCCTTTTTTCTGAATGTGTTTTCATGGCCGAAGGCATTTAAAATCACTTTGTCCCCTGCTTATAATAAGGCCTTTGTTACCTTCAATCTATCTTGGCTTCTAACGGGATGATTCTGACGGGATGATTCCCACTTGATTCACTGGCTTATTATGTCCTTTTCAACCTTCCAAACTCCGCCAAAATGGGGATTTTTGAGCCATGTCTCCCCTTCGGTCATCTTGGACCTTCAATGTGGCATACATAATGGGTGCCAGCCTATTCCTCAACACTTGTGAAAATGTCCACCTAGATCCATGACTTGAAAAAACAGTTTGTGGAATCAAGTAAGGGAGATTAGGGGTGATGCTATCATGTTTCAGATATGTATGTGTTGCTCAAAGACCATAATTTGTTGCTTTTGCAGTTCCTAGTTCATTGCCAAACAACTATAATATAATGTATCTTTTGTGCCATCCAAGATCATAATAATGTCACCCATGCTTTAGTGTCTCCTCTTGGTGTAATATTTGAGTATTTCTAATGATGGTGGCATAGACCCCAACCTAAATAACATGTCAAACTTCTTGATGAACTTGGGTTTGATGTGTGCTAGACTTGGAGGGAGGCGCATTTAAAGTATCAAGGAGAGAGCGAAGTAAGAAAGTATGAGGTAGACATTGTGTTTGGTTTGGAAACCAGGGGATAGAATGGTCCCATTTTGCTGTTTAGTTTGAGGGACGGGTCACCTCTAATCTAATTTTTGTTTATCACATCATTAGCAAAATAGTTATATTGTGGGCCCCACATGCAATCCATAGGCTCATTTGCTATCTCTATGCCTTATCTCTTTTCCATTGTCCCCTGCGCACAGACCGTAGGTGCTCCCTTTGCTAAGATTGAGGCCTATCGAAGAAGCTTGCTCCCTTGTTGATCGCTCCCCTGCTCGCATCCCTTTGCTCGTATCCGCTCGCTACACTCATCCCCAGCTGGCCGATGTGTTCGCCTTCGCCACTTACCCCCGCTCCTGCCCTCACTTGCTTCGCCAATCACTATGCTTCCCATTGCCCCCATGGGCTCTAGCTCACGGTTTGACCTAGAGAAGAGGGAAGCACATGTGGACACTGCACGCACGTGCAAGAGGGATGGGTTGGTACCTCCTTTTGTTTGGGGACGGTGTTGTATGGCATCTAGAGAGAATATACTTCTCTAGAATGACTCTGAACCAAACAGTATCTTATAGGTCATGTGGGACAAGGTGATTCAAGTAACGAAAGAGTAGTAGATGAGATTATTTCGCTGCACCATATTCTTTGGTTCATCCCAATGTAAACGAGGTTGGAGCTACGACATCTTCACGAGCAGCACAAGGACATTGATGAGTTTATTACACAAGTGAACTTCTTATCTGCTATTGACCACCCATGTCTTTTTTTTCTATCTATATAAGAAAAAAAACAAATCCATTGACTAAGTAAAATATTCTGTGCAAACCACATCTCTCGGTGCAATCGTGAAAACCCAACTGAAAAACATAATTAAAAGTTTTCAAAAAGTTTGAAACTATGCACATCCATAGTGCATCTATTGATAAACGTTGCCACAAATTTTGAGATTCAAACTCGTTTTTGTAAAAATCATACGAAAACAATAAATTTCAGGTGCATATGCATTAGAAGATAAATGCCCAGGAATTTTGTCTTCTAGCAGTGCATATGCATCTGAAATTTGTTATTTTCGTATGAATTTGAGTTTGAATCTCAAACTTTGTGCCAATGTTCATCAACAGATACACTATGGATGTGCATGGTTTCATTTTTTTTTGAAAGCTTTCAATTATGTTTTTCAATAAAATTTTCACGCTTACACCGAAGATGTAGTTTGCACTGAATATTTTACCAACTAATTAAGGCTTGGTTTAGATGCAAAGTGCTTGTGGAGTATTGAAAAAAATACTATAATTGTTTTCTAGATGTGTTGGGTTTCAGATGCAATAGACCTTTTAGTTTGTAAAATCATAGTTTTTTGGAGTTTAAAAATCCACACTCTAGGCCATAGTTTTGTACGTCTTTGGCTTATGAAATAATAGCTTTTTTTTATAATAGTTCTTCTAAAACCATGGCATGCAAACAGAGGCTAATATTTGCACCAAAACCAATTGATAACCGCAATATTTTACACTTGTCGAGCACCCCACTAACCCTTTATGTTAGTCGGTCCAAATTAGCCAAGGAACATTTCAGCTAAAGCCAAAGTTCTCTTGGAACCAAAAAAATGTTCGGGTGGAACAATTTTTGTATTAGAGGAGAAAAAAATTTGTCACATGGAACACAAAAAAAAAAAACCTCACGTGGAATGAACACGCAAACTTACTGACCAAAAACTTTCTACACTTTAAAGAAATTTTAAAATTGGAAATAAATTGTTATGAACTGGTGGAACAATAGCTGAGATATCTGATATCTAAGTGAACTATATGAGCCACTTCACAAAGTGTGTGGAAAATAAAATTACTTTGGCGAGGGGGCACACCAAAAGGGCATGAGAATGTTTTGGCCTCAACACCACGCACACAGTGGAGCGGTGTAGTATTTTGGTTCGTTTGGTATTGCTTCACTAACTCTGCTTCATAAACTCCACTAACTCTGCTCTACGAACTCTATCAAAGAGTAGTTCCGTAAAAGAAAGTTTCTGAAACACCTAATTAGGCTATCTCAACTTCACCTTTTTTTTTTCTAGAACATAATCTTTATAGCAACACCTATTTAGCAAAAAAAAAAAATTACATAGCAAAGCTCAAAAACATAAAGCGGAATAGTCCCGGACATGTCGTTATTGTCACGCCTGCCTTCGGTAATTTGATAGCATGGTCCGCTATACACTATAGGAGGCGCCAGGCCGACGTTTGCATTGGACGAACGGACATATGCTGGGAATCTATACACGACTACGTGTTCCCCACGTTGCCTTTGTTCAAGCGACGCGGCAGAAACAAACAAACCAAGATCACATCACTAGCTGTACTACCTCTAGACCCAGGACACATGACAGGCACGGGAGGACCAAAGAATCCCGTGCTCAAATCCTGTCCACAACAGTGCTTCAACTGTGGATAATATCAAAATTAATAATTTGAAACTGTAAAAGGTTCTCAATTCACAAGCAAACCACCACACAAGAAAACGCTAGCATCAAATCGTATCACTAGTTCAGAACAAACCGCCTCCATTTCCTAAATTCGAACCTCAAAAAATCACACGGGAAAGAAAAATGTGATCAGCCATCTATCTAAGCTTGTACAAATTTGCTACAGAACTGCTGAGGTTAGTAGAGACTAGAGACCAAGGAGATATCCAAATAGCTCAAGGTCAATGCATCCATGTTGCACTCGCCAAACATTCTCGCACGTGTGAAGATCCCACATCGGCCACATGTAGTAGATCCAAATGCCAGAACAACCCCAAAATGAGTAGGATACAGAGGGTATAGGTTTCTTTACCGGCAAAATCTGTAATTTCCTCATTCTGACCCATCAGGGAAATGACGCAGTGCATCTTGTTTGCCATTGACATAGAACTCGATGACCGCTTTCATTCGCTTTAACTTGTCAGGATGGTAGTTCAAATGCACAATCGCTGGCTTTAGCTTCTTGAGCTGAGCGTCTTTCCTCACTGTCTTGAAGAGGACTTTGCTGTTCATGAAAAGATAAATATCCATGGTTCTCCTGGATGCATGAAGGCCTTCATAACCAGGATGAGACGGGAAGAACAGCTCCTCGTTGAAAACTGCCTGGTCCCATGACTTTGGCTCATGAGAAAGGCGGCCAGCCACACGATCAAGAAGTTCAATAGAAGGAATTGTTGGTCTAATATAGAAAAACCCAGAGTTGTAAACCCAAATCCGCATTGTGTGAGCATATCTGGCCCAACCCATAGAAGGCTCATCAAACACGTCGTTGAAACCATAAGCTGTCATGTTATTGTGGCCATCACTCATGGACTCCACATCAGAATCTCTGTAAAGGTGCTCAAATGGATTCCTCAAGAAAATAATATCAATGTCAGAGAGGAGAATACTATATCCAAGTTGCAAGAACTCCCTTAAAACACGAAACTTAAGTCCAGAGACGGCATGGTTTCCACCAGTTTTTGCAATGTTATCGATGCCTTCATCAGGATCACGCCGGTAGACTGGAACCCCTTTAGATTTGCATAAGCTTTCTATATTATCATCCAATGCCACAACCAGGTAGTTTGGAATACCAACTCGTTTGATATTGGTAAACCAAACTTCGAGCATCTCCCTCACATTGTTGTTTGCCAATGCAACAATGAGTTCCTTTTTCACAGCAACCTCTTCCAATACCTTGGCCAACCTGGGATTAACAGATTCATCAGGGGTTACTGTTGGATTTGTTCTCAAAGCCTTGACAGTTCCAAACGGACCAGGCTTGTACAAAGTCTCATCTTTTCCTTGTCCAGCTATTTGAAGTTTCATGGATAGTTCATTAATCTGCCTCCTAAGTTCAACATTCTCTCTCTCCAATGATGACAACTGGGACTTAAGGTTGGTAACTCGTCCTGATGATTCGCAAGCAGTTGAGTCAACCTAACGAATGAGCAGAATACACATTGTATTAGTATTAGAATTTAACTACGTTTCAGGAGTACATCTAAATGAATAAGAACAAAAACTAAACGAACAAAGCACAAAGAGAAAACAAATGAATTAATGGCATAAGCATACTCAGCAGTTATTTGTATAGCTATGTTGCTAATGTAACATCGTAGAAAAAGCAGATCAATTTAGCAAAATAAATTACTATGAGGTGAAGTAACAATTGAGAAAATGTAGGTCCAGGAAGAATTTGTTCTGTTCATTTCTGTAGCTTCGTAAAGTCTACTTTGATCTTCACTTGAAAGTATATTTTAGACTGAGTGCACTGTCTAGGATGACAAGAATACTGCAAATCCAGACTACAAGAAACCACTTGTAAGTTACATCTACCGAGCTGTACAACAGTACAAGTACAAACACAACTTCACAGCATTTCATCGGTAAACGAGTTCCAATGTTTTTAAGGCGTCGCTTTGGCGTCGCCTAATCGGCAAGGCGCTACAGGCGGGACGATTTGGCGGACGACTCGCCTCAGATTGGTACGGCGTCCGCCTTACTACCATGGCGTCCGAAAGTCGTCGATTTGGCGTCCGATTCGTCGAAATCGAGCAAGGCGGGCGCCATACGGGGATGGCAAACGCGGGCGCGGGAGAAAGGACGGGGAAAGCATCGCGCGCGCGCGACGCGCGGGAGAGAGGAACACAGGAGAAATCAGAGAGCAGAGAGAGGAGTGCTCGCAGGGAAGACGGACCTACCCGCACGAACGCGTTCGCCCGCGCCGCCGGTAGAAGCTGCTGCCGCCGAGACTCCGCCTCCACCTCCCCTGTTCCCCATCCGCGCGAGGAGCAGCCGCCGGCGGGCTGCTGTTTCCCCGTCGCCTCTTCTGGTCCTCCATTGAGCACGACACGAGCTGCTTCGCCTCTCCCTTCCCTCTTCCCCACCCGCGCGAGGAGCAGCCGCCGGCGGACTGCTGTTTCCCCACCGCCTCCTCTGGTGAACATCGAGCAGGAGCAGGACCCGAGCCGCCTCCTCCAGTCTTCCCTCGAGCAGGAGATCTTGAAGGGGAGACGGCGGCGGCTGTCGATCTGAGAGCACTGACCAGAGAGGAAGGGGAAGCAGAGGGGCGGAGGGAAGAGCAGAGCAGCACATCAGGAGGAGAGGGAAGCAGAGCAGGGCATCTGGAGAGGGGCGGAGGGAAGCAGAGCAGCCACTCGTGCGGTCGTGCCGTCGTGTGGAGGCGGAATAGCAGTGGGGAGCGGCGGCGCCAGGAGGGGAAGGAGCACATGGTCTGCCTAGTGAGCTGGGCGAGCCCACTTCTTACTCGGCTCCTTTCTTTTTCTTTTTTTTCCTTTCCTTTTTTCTTCATCTACTGCTCTAAGCTGCTGTTTTCATTTTTTAATTAATTTCTTAAGGCGTCGCCTCGCCTCACGCTTTAGTCGCTTAAGCGTAAGGCGGTAGTCAGTCGCCTCGCCTTGCCTTACCGCCTTGAAAACATTGACGAGTTCAGTTATCTAGCAGCAGTATTTATTAAATACAGGAACCAATAATGCAGGTACAGGGAAACATTGTTTTTACACAACAGCTATTGAAACAACCTGACATTTAAAGAGCAGATTAGGTGGCCACTTAATCAAAATACCATCCCACAGCTTATGCAATGGATTAGTGTAGGAGGAGGGATGCAGCCAAGTCCTAATTAAGTGTTCTCTTGTAGAACAACAAAGCAACAACATTCTTAAATTAGAAACTGCATTATTCTATACTTCTAGTTAGCATACAAAAATAATCCCAGACTTGGCTCAAACTCTGATCTAAGTTGAGCTCAACTTGAATCCAGTCTGAAGTCTGAACCAGCTCTTAAGGCCATTCAGCTGAACCTTGAGTCTTGACGAGCACAGTATGAACAGGATTAACAAATGAAACTGAAGAACCTCAGGATAAAAGTTGAATGTTGGGCTGACATCGAACTCCGCTTATGTTGTCTCAACATAGCAGGTCCCAAGCCCTGGTAAAGAAGGAGGGTTGTGATAGGCGTGGCGAGCCAACGTTAAATCTAGCCATTCTAATGGAGATGAAACCCGAAAGAAAACCGTTGGGGCGTAACCCTCTTAGCGACGCGCCATATCGGAACCCAGGTATGGTGTTAAATGGGCAAGGGCCGGGTCAGCACCCCCTTGGTGACGCGCCGTGTCGCGATATGGGCATGGTGTCAAGTGAGCAAGGATCGGGTCGTCGCTTCCTTAGTGGCGCGCTACATCGGCGCCCGGGTGTAGTGAAAAATGAGCAAGGGTCTTCACATCTGAGTCAACGGGTGCGAAGGGTAAGGAAGCTAGTCGAACTAACTAGGATCCATTTAGGTAGTTGGAATGTAGGGTCGCTTACAGGTAAGTTAAGAGAATTAGTTGATACCGCGATTAGGAGGCGTGTAAATATATTATGCGTTCAAGAGACTAAATAGAAGGGTCAGAAGGCGAAGGAGGTGGACAATACAGGTTTCAAGTTTTGGTACACAGGGACAGTCGCGAATAGAAATGGAGTAGGAGTTTTGATTGATAAGAGCCTCAAGAATGGTGTGGTGGGAGTGAGAAGGCAAGGAGATAGGATTATCTTAGTCAAGCTTGTCGTTGTTGATATGGTCTTAAACGTAATTAGTGCGTATGCCCCCCAAGTAGGCCTCGACGAGAGTGCTAAGAGACAGTTCTGGGAAAACTTAGATGGCCTGATTAGAGCTGTACCTAGTAGTGAGAAGCTTTTTATAGGAGGAGATTTTAATGGGCATGTATGTACTACAAGCGCAGGTTTCGAGGCAGTTCATGGAGGTTTTAGGTATGGTAGTAGGAATCAGAAGGGGGAGGAAGTTCTGGACTTCGCGGTAGCTTTTGACCTGATGATAGCCAACACTTTCTTTAGAAAGAGAGAATCTCATCTAGTGACCTTCAGTAGCGGACAATACTCTAGCCCGATTGACTTTGTCCTCGCAAGAAGAAAGGACAAACGAGCATGCTTGGGTTGCAAGGTGATACCAGGGGAGTGTGTTGTTTCTCAACATAAACTTTTGATGGCAAACTTTCGTTTTCAGGTGCGTGCCCATAGGGATAAACAAGCTAAGATTGAAAGAACAAAGTGGTGGAAACTGAAAGGGGAGACGTCAGAGGTATTCAGGAAAAGGGTTATCAAAGAGGGCTCTTGGAAGGAAGAAGAGGACATAAACAACATGTGGGAGAAGATGGCAACCAACACTCGGAAGGTGGCCTTAGAGGTGTGTGGAGTAACCAAAGAAAGTGGAGGCGAGGCTAAAGATACTTGGTGGTGGAACGAAGAAGTCCAAAGGGCTATTAAGGAGAAGAAAGAATGCTATAGACACTTATACCATGACAGGAGTGTGGACAACATAGAGAAGTATAAGGTGGCAAAGAAGACTGCAAAGCGAGCTGTAAGTGTGGCAAATGGTAGAGCGTACGAGGATCTTTATCAATATTTTAGTACGAAGGAAGGAGAGAAGGACATTTATAGGATGACTAGGGTTCGTGAGAGAAAGACAAGGGACTTCAACCAAATTAAATGCATTAAGGATGAAATGGAGCATTTCTTAGTGAAGGAGGATGAGATCCGACATTGATGGCAAGAGTATTTTGACAAATTGTTCAATGGTGAGAATACGGACACAACCTTTCAGTTGGATGACTCTTTTGATGACATAAATAGGCGCTTTGTGCGGAGAATCCAAAAATCTAAGGTCAGAGAGGCGTTGAAAAGGATGAAAGGAGGTAAGGCGATGGGACCGGATGGTATCCCAATCGAGGTGTGGAGATGCCTCGGGGACATAGCTATAGTATGGCTAACCAAGCTGTTCAACCATATTTTTCGATCGAACAATATGCCTGATGAGTGGAGGAGAAGTATATTGGTACCGATCTACAAGAATAAAGGGGATATTTAAAGTTGTACTAATTACCGGGGAATTAAGTTGATGAGCCATACTATGAAGCTATGGGAGAGAGTTATCGAGCATCACTTGAGAGCAATAACGCGGGTCTCTATGAACCAATTTGGTTTCATGCCCGGAAGATCAACCATGGAAGCCATTTTCTTAATAAGACAAGTTATGGAGCGGTATAGGGAGAAGAAGAAGGACCTACACATGGTTTTTATTGACTTGGAGAAGGCTTATGATAAAATACCAAGGAATGTTATGTGGTGGGCTTTGGACAAACATAAAGTCCCAACGAAGTACGTCGGGCTTATTAAGGACATGTACAACAATGTTGTGACTAGTGTTCGAACAAGTGATGGAGACATGGATGACTTCCCGATTAGGATAGGACTACATCAAGGGTCAGCTTTGAGCCCTTATCTGTTTGCCTTAGTGATGGATGAGGTCACAAGGGACATATAAGGGGACATCTCTTGGTGTATGCTTTTCGCGGACGATGTAGTGTTAGTTGATGAAAGCCGAACATGAGTGAATCAGAAACTGGAGTTATGGCAGGAGACTTTGGAGTCCAAAGGTTTTAGACTCAGTAGAACTAAATCTAAGTATATGAGATGTGACTTGGGCACTACTACTTGGGAGGAGGAAGATATTAGTTTAGAAGGTCAAGTAGTGCCTAGGAAGGATACCTTTCGATATTTAGGATCAATGGTACAGAGTGTTGGGATATTGATAAAGATGTTAGCCATAGAATCAAAGCAAGATGGATGAAGTGGCGCCAAGCATCTGATGTCCTATGTGACAAAAAGGTACCACAGAAGCTAAAATGCAAGTTTTATAGGACGGTGATTAGACCTGCTATTTTATATGGTGCAGAATGTTGGCCTACGAAAAGACGACATGTTCAACAGATAAGTGTCGCGGAAATGTGTATGTTGCGTTGGATTTGCGGTCATACAAGAAGGGATCGAGTACGGAACGATAATATACGTGATAGATTAAGGGTAGCACTAATTGAAGAAAAGCTTGTCCAATACCGGTTGAGATGGTTTGGACATGTCCAACGGAGACCTCCAGAAGCACCGGTGCGTAGTGGAATCCTAAGCCATGATAGTAAGGTGAAGAGAGGTAGAGGAAGACCGAAGTTGACTTGGGTAGAGGCAATAAAAGGAGACTTGAAAGGATGGAATATACCCAAAGACTTACCCTTAGATAGGAGTGCTTCGAAAACAGCTATTCACGTGCCTGAACCTTGATTGCTTCTGCTAGATTTCAATTCTAGTCTACCCCAACTTGTTTGGGACTTAAAGGCGTCCTATTCCTCATCCAAGGTAAAAAACACAAGCCGCAACAGATACTGGTAGCTTTGCACCCTTGAGAGCAAGATTCATTTTGCAACCATTTTGTCACTATGTCCTGCCGTGGCTTGCTGATGCATCCTTGACACCTAGAAAGCCAACTTTCCCTATTCTAACAGTCATGCTGCTCCAGTGCTCCTTACTATCCTTTTGGTTTATCAAATGTTCCTACACCTAGTTTGCAGAGGCATACTTAATGTGATACATGGGGATGGACTGGTAGCAAGGGTTGAATCAAGGACACTGCACGAAATTTTGGTAAAATGCCAGTGAGGAATGGGGATGTAAAGTGGTCCACATGTAGGTAAACATAACAAAGATTGTCAGCCATGGACACAATTCCTGTGTACCTCAAATTTCAATGAGACCTATGCAAATGTGTCTATGAGAATCATTGATCTGCATTCGGGTTTATCAATACTCCTACCAAAGACACTACTGAGTAACTGACAGACAAAATAATTGGTTGATAATGGAACCAGCCCAAAAGGCCACATCATTTCTTCAAAGATGCTGGAACTCCATGCACCGAGGTTTGATATACATCAATAAGACACTACCCGTTTAATCTCTCGTCGACACCATCCTTAAAAAGATAAGGTAGACTAAATACTATTTTGCTGCAAGGTTAAGCTAGCACTTTTATGGATCTATGCACTGCATGCTCTCAGAGATTGCCCTTTAAGTTCCTTAACATCATTCCTAGTTGGTC